CTTTCTACTTGGTATAAATTTTAAAATATTTTTACACTTTTTGAGCTATTTATAGACATTTTCAATTATTGTTATGTATGAAATTAGGAGGAAAATACTTTCCTAAGTTATTCAACCACGAGATTTTGTATCTTAAAGAAATGTAAAAAATGTCCACGATTCTCTTTGGTTGTGATGATTGCGTCCAGCAGCCCATCGCAGTTGGTAACCCATATTTATATTTGTACAAATAATATAATGTAAAATATTTTTGTACAAAAAATTATTATTACAAATACAAATGAAGTATGAACAGGTTTAAACACATACCTAGGAAGAAATCCATTACAATTCTAGGGGTCTAACATTATTAACATAATAACATAATGTGAGTGGGGCAGTGTTGTTACTGGGTAGTAACGTAACGATAAAGTAACGCGTTACGTAATTTCATTAGAATTATTTCCATGTAACGAAATTGTAATGGAAATTACTTTGGATAAGTAATTTCTATAGAATAACGAGTTACAGTTTCGAATTATTAAGTACCTAGTAGGTAAAAAAAAAATCGTCTATAATGAGGGTATTATTATGTTTACGAATCTAATATGTATTTATATTTAATTTTAACTAGCCACAATTCAGTTTTCAATGGTTTTAAATCACTAGAACAGTTAATTAAATTTATTATTTAATTGAATTCCTCTAAATAGGTAGGTACCTTCACAGAAAGTTTCCTATGAATATCTAGCGTGCCGTGGACTAAACAATATAGGTTTTATAAAGAATTTAGTGTTATACAAAAACTGTTCAATTAAAAAATACTTATTAGTTATTACTATATTTAGAATTTACATTAGAATTAAACATTATTTTTCTGAAAATTAAATAAAATCAAAAGTGTACTGTTATAAATCATTGTAGCCATATTTTGGTATTAATAAAAACAGTTTATTTTTTTAAGTTCTTTTCTTATTTTGTTCTATGTATTATCATTTTATTTTCACATACCTAAAAGGTTTATGTTGTGAGTTTGTGACATAAATATATTATATACTTAACTATACCTATAATGATTAATTACCATTCTCATACCTTGGTACAATTAATTAGTACTATTACTACTATTTTTTAAAAGTCATAACTCTTAAGCATAGGCGTGTCTACGGTGGCAGCCTAGGGTGCCTGGGCTGCCCCTGCAATTTTTAAAAGATGTCGGTCAACCGGGTTTGAAGTCGGAATGGTTACAACATTTCTTTTTTTAAAAAACCATCATTTTTGTGTGGGTATCGCTATAATTACCATTTACTTACAAAGATTGATTTTCTGACTTCCGAAATCGAAAAAACCTACTATAAAGACTTGAGACAGGCGACGACGGTACCTACAGTACGCATCTAGGTATTATTGATATTATTGTTGTATTGTTTTTGATTTGTAGTTAGATGGTGTAATCCAAGGCTGTAGATGAATAATATTTCTGAGGTTACTGTAGATTATTATTGTAAATAGATGATTTGGACTTTTTTTAAATTATATAAATATTTCATTGTAAAGGGGGGCTTGAAAAAATACGAATTGGGTGTATAGGGCTTTTTTTAGTTCACTAATAAGGTAGCGCCGGTTATTAGCTAGGCTGCCCCTGCCGACGAAGTCTAGTCACGCCTATGCTCTTAAGTAATTACTGTTGTACCTATTTATGTAATTATGTATTTAACTGTAGATCTTTTTTTTTGTGCATCTTTTTCAAATTATACCTTTTTACCATAGGTAATGTTCCATTATTGCCTGCAGAATGATAATTGCCAAGAAATTTGAAAAAAAAAATATTAATTTTTTTTTGTAACTAGAAAGTAATGAGTTACTTTTCTATTTGAAAAGTAAAGTAATTTCATTACAATTTTGTTTGAGTAACGAGTAAAGTAACTTAATTACATTTATCTCTAAGTATAACGAGTAAAATAATTTAATTATTTTTTAAAAGTAACTTATCCAACACTGGAGTGGGGGGATTTCGATCCCATGTGTGTGCACACAACGCACACAACTAAAAAAGATGTGGGCTTGACAGACTTTTTTTTTTTTTGGGGGGGGGGGCTAAGCATTATGCACTTAATATTTTGTGTACAATATAGATATTTTAATTAATTAGTTTTTAAATTATTCACTGTGTATTTTTGAAGCCCGATCCCGATTAAGAAACATTTGTTAATTGTCGGAAACATAATAATATGTTTCTGTCATTGTCGTCGACAAGTATTTATGTTACATTATTACCGCCCATGAGGGGAAATCAGAAACATTGTTGGAAACACGTCGTGCTTCCGACAAATTTTACTTTGATCTGTAGTCGGGGGACGAACTGGACAGGGCTTTATGGGCGAAATTATGGTTGAAATACTGAAGTCTGAAATGTTTGTTTAGGTTTCGAATTTGAGCACGAATTTATTATTATCAGCTTGGCCGGTATAAATGTTCTTTGGTCCGGCGTTGTTTCGAGTTATTACAGTGTCTTTGGAACGACGATCGCATCCGCGATACAGATACATATTATATACATAGACCTTATACTCATAGACGGAGCATGATCGTAGTTCCCGCGGCAAATACAGGGTGCGCTGCACATGTGTGGAATCATCTTCTGCGCATGCGCGAAAACACAACCAGGTTGTGTTACAATAGTAATATTTATCATAATGTGGTATGCACTATGCATCATCACAGCATATTTAAATATTTTATTAATAATATTGCCATTAGATTATAATTACTACAGTAGTTATTTACTATTGTATCAGAGCAATAATTATTTAGCATTATAATATTATTATAGTATTACGCTATTATATTTATTAAGTCTTATAATATTATGTGGTAAGTGTTAATAACAATGTTTTTGGTCGCAAGGAATGGTATCACTGCTGGCACGATAGGAATGACCGCACCACCAACCCGCATCCCACCTGGATGCTCCGTCTATGAGTATAAGGTCTATGATTATATATCACGATGTAGAGAAGATAAGGTGACACCGCTCCCGTATCTTTCAATGGTACAATATTGGCGCAAAAAATCACGGCAGTTTGGTAGTTCAGAATTTAACACCAGAGTACGCCACCCTTCGTTCGAAGGCCGACTTTTATACGAGTCGTAATGGAGATAGATTTAAATTTTATTTAAATGTATTAATTATTGTTGTTCAAATATCGATAGTCAGCTTGCCAACATAATATATTTTATGTTATATTGTATAGATTATTAAAATAAACTAATGTTTTGGAATCATGTACCAATTATTATGTAAAAATTGTAATAATATTATATGGTATGTAGCCATATCGTATAAATTTATTGATTTAAATAAAATGCATATTTATTTTATGATATTTATATGTTTATTTATTCATTGACACATATATGTACAAAAATGGAATTAGTAATATCTACGTACAATAAGTATGGATAAGGACGAGTTTAAACTGTTAATAAAAACTCAAAATATATAGGTACTATACTACCGTCTACCAGCTACTGACCCAAGTACACCTAAATAAAAATCATAATTATAGGTACCCATATGATATTGATATATAATAACAAAAAAAAAATTAAATATTAAGCAATGATGTAGAGAAAATATAATATTTACAATAGAGAATAGAATATATTATCAGTTAAAATAATAATATAAACCTAATATAAGTAGTATAAGTAATTGATAATATTCTATTTTTAATTTTAATTTACATAATTGTTTGTATTTACACAAGTCTTAAGAGTTAAGACTCCCTTAATGGTCTGTGCCCTGTGGATTGTTTAATAATATTTCGTATATACTTTCTTATTTTGTTAAAAAATGCCAAACAAATGTTTTGTGCCAGGATGCAAAACTGGCTATGCCAGTTACAACAAAAAGTTAAAAGTAGAAAATAAAAAACCACCTATTTTATTTCGTGCACCAAAGGTGAGTCATAATTTTTAAATACCTACTATAGAGATTTATTTGAGGGAAACATTTGTATAATTTTCTTTATCACCTAAGTACCTCTAAAAGGGCATTATTAATGATACATATTTGTATGTGTTTAATAAAGTAAACTATTTATACAATTTTAATAAATTATAATTTCAGATCAAAATATAGCTTAATTGCAAACCTAATTTTGTTCTATTAAAATATGTAGTAAATATAATTATATAATTATATTATAATATAAATATCCTGAATTCTCTATATTATAAAATAGATAAATTCTGACCTAAAAAAAAAGTGTACACTGTGCACTATGGAATAAAAATAACTAAGTTGATTTTATACATAATATTTACAAAGCACCATAGTTAAAATAGTAAAAAAGATAAATGATTAATATATAGAAATGAAAATCATCAAAAAAAAATTACATTGAAGTTATAAAAATATTTAATTTTACTTTAGGATAATCAATCTCTGGAAGTTTGGAACAAACATATTCCCCGTGATGATAAATTATTAAGTGAGAATGCTAATTGAGAAAAAAATAAAAGACAAAAAAATTTAGCGAAGCAGTCGAAACTTATATAACCGTGTACATAAAGTTGTTGAAATAAAATACTTATATAATAAAACTTTCTTAAATTAAACTATTTTAAATGTTACCTAATTGAATAGAATGATTACCTAAAAATAATTCTTACGTGGTTAATATTATAAATTTGAAGTAATAGTGTCAAAAACGACAAAAATGTATATAATTTTTGAAATTTTACGTTAAAAACAATGTATTCACAATATAAAAACCGGCCTTCGGGCGAATGGTGGCGCTACCTACCACACTGCCGAGAAAATTTGCGACCGGAATATGTACAAGTGGTGTCACCTTATCTTCTCTACATCGTGTTATATATATACGATAGCTTGTGATCGCATCTTAGGTTATTAGAGTAATCAGTTCAGTGGTACCACTACCACAGAACAATAAAATGGCACGCACTTTTTTTCAGGGCATCGGGCAGTTGGTCCTCCGAGATAATAATCATTGATGCCTGATGGTCAAATGTCAATGGTCATTCGCATTTCGCAGCTTGCTGCAGCCGCAGTCCTCCCGCCGGTCGAAGAGTTACTCTTGTGTGCAGCCTGCTGCGCTTCGTGTATGGTGTACTGTGACACACTGGCTGTGTATTATAATTTTAAAAAAATTATGTTATGCCGACCGTGTGACTTCAGAGTTCAAACTTCTTATCATCACGAAATACGGATTTGTCTTGGTAGGTTTTTTTTCTATGTAAAATGTAAATTCAGTTATGCAAAATTTTAGTACATCATGATATACTTATGTTAAGTGGTAAATTACTATATTATCATTCAGTTGTACGTGCGTGAAGTTTTAAATAAAATATATTATGACGAACTGTGGCTTACGCTCTACACAACCTGCTATTAGATTGTAGCGACACCGAATGTAAACACTAAGCTACCTATTTGATTTAAACAATATTTGTTTTTAATATTTGGTATATTTTACTAATTATCACTATTTAGTGTTTTGCTCAACAGTTTGTCAATCTGAGGCGGTGAAGCCCCAGAATCAACCTTTGCTGGTAAGCAACACTACTAGGATTTTGGAGTTTTCAATAAAGTTAAACTAAACCAAATGTTATTCAATTGCCAGTTATAGGTAATATTTGATAATCATACAATAAAGAAACACCTCAGCAGCGGGCATTGGGATTAATGAATAGTTGCACGGAGGACAAATTTATACGAAACCGTTACAGTTCAATCAGGCCGACTTATCAATAATTTTGTTTTGTATATTACATAAAATCAAATCATTTTTCTTGCCGTTTTCAATTTGAAACAAACTTCGCTCGTCAGTTATTGCAGAACATTACGTTGCTTTCGGTTGTGCTACAATGTCAGAAATTGAAATCTCTTCCGGATCGGAAGATAGTGAACCAGACGTATGTATAATACCTAGAAATCATAACTCATTGTGTAGCATGGTATAACAGCAATCTATGTAGAATTTGAAATTTTGTACAAAGATGTATCAATAGTTGGGTGTACATTATTTTAAAGTTATTTTTAGGTTTTATTGTGTGCAAAATGTTCTGAATTCTATCCATATATTAGTGGTGTCTCTTTCTATACAAGTGTTTAGACGTCATATAATGTCCAACAATGTACTGATTAATATAATATGGTTTAAAATGATTCTGAAAACAGATTTTAATTTGTCATGTAGTCTACTAGAGACTGACTATTAATTACAATTTTTTTTTGCTCTTGTTTACCATGCAAATCTTGATATGACTTATGCAGATAAATATGAAAAATGTGGGATTCAATTTCAACTTGACTACACAAATTTAAATTTGTTTTCATAATCATTATCATGTCATTAGATTGATGTGTTGGATATAGAAAATTTATTGATTTCTAGATCGCATCACATCATTCATCGATGAACAGATCAGCAAATCAACATTTCCAATCCTCTTATTATTAAGTACCTGTTATAAATCTATGCAGAATAGCGATTTTAAACTTTTGTCATGGTGCATTTTACCTTATTTTGCTGAGATTACTCTTTCTCCACAGAACTTCATAATTTTTTTTATTATGTAATAACATAATATTTATTTCAAACTTTGCTAGATAATTCTTCAAGATATTGTTATAATTTAGCATCTTTACTTTGGACTTTAAGGATTCTTCAAAATTGTTTGTATATATGTTACTCTCAATAAACAAAACGTATCTATACAGCAAACATGCGTCGGACTAACGATTAGTAAATTAACTCATGAACAACTATTGTTTCACAAGCTTGTTAAGATAAAATTTAATCTTTACTTTTTATTACTGAACAAGTTGTCAATTATTGTACAATTACAATAAATAAAACAATAATTACAGATATTTTACATTAGTTTTTTTTTTTTTTTATGTCGTTTATTTATGAAAATTTACAATCTATACAAAAATGATTCAATAAGTAAATGTGAATAATAATTAAAAGTGGCAATGAGTATTTCTACTGGAGTTGTCTTGAGTTGCAGATGTGGTGGAAGATATTCGAAATGTGGCTTGAATGTTGTTTGTGAGGGTGTTAGTTTTTTTATATAAATATTAAAGTATTGTAAATATGCAGTCATATGCAATTTATTATAATATGCAAAAAAGAAATAACTCTACTAATAAGTAAGCAGTATTGATAATGTTGTACTTTTACAATATGTAAAATATTTGTAAATGTCCGTTTATTGTGAGGTATAACATTTAATAAGTCATAAATGTAATATTATAATATTTTTTATTATTTTAGACTAGGTTACTCAACAGGTTAATTTCAATTATTTTTGTTTTTCAATCATAACTTCTTTTATTTCCTGCTAATAACATTAATTTATGGAATCTGTATTCTTTAATAATATTATTGATTATTATCTAAAACATTTGAATTTGAAAAATAAATTAAGTTTATTTTTTATTTTTCTGAAATAGGTAGCCTAGGTTCATAATAATATCATACTATTCATATCTAATTTTAATAACATGGAAAATAACGCATGACTTCATGCCAATTATTTCACAAAAGTTAGACTGCTCCAATAAGTTGCGTGAATTTAAATATAAAGTGCCTACCTAATAAAATTATTTCTGTTACTGAAAATTAAAATTTGCTTCAGTGATTTGTAATTTGCTTTACATTACTACTTAACACTAATATAAATGTTGTCATCTGTTATTTGAAGTTGATTTTTAAATAATTTGTAAATACACTAACCTTAAAGGGAAGTACCCGATTAAGTTATTGCCAAATGCTTGCGTGTTACTAGTAATCAAATTATCAGAATTGCACAATATCCCTACTTTAACTATCATCGACCTACTGTTAAAAGACAGCTTGATGGCGAATCGCAGCAAAACAAAATTGAAAACACCAAATCTTAGTTCCTTCCCAAATCACTCAATAGTTAAAATATTTTTTATCTAAAAATAGGAACAGAAATTAAAAATACCGATATTTTAACCGGAACCATATAATATTCTCCCGTCTAAGTTTGACTTACTCAGTAATTCACTCTAATATAGCTAACGAAAATAATGAATTCGGCTGAACACACATTTGGTATGTTGTACGTTTGTAAGACTGAGACAACATATTATATGATATTGAAATTCTTTTTACATTTCTAACTTTTATTTAAAAGATTACTAAGAAAGAAAAAATTATAAGTTTTAAAAATAATATTTCTTTTTTAACATAGTTTTTTGTTTTATTTCAGATTACTTATAACATGGATTTATTTCAACAGGTAAATATTTTGATATAATTTGTTAATATAGATATTGATAACATTGTTGTGCTTATTAGTTGTGAATTATAAACATAGGTACATATGATTGAAAACATATTTTTCTTATATCTACTACCGGAATTATAAACTTAAGTATAAAATACCAATATAAAATACAACACAACAATCCTTAGTTCTAATCCGTTTTGGGATGCCTATTTATTATTACTCATTAATTAGGGGCTATAATAAATTAATACATTTATTCACTGAAGAGAGATGATTGACTTAGTCTACACTTGCTGACCAAAGTGCAGCTAGTTTAGTCAGTTAAATTACATTTTGGAAAAAACTTCTCTATTTTACCGGTTATCCTTTTTTTACAATTTTTTGGTCTATGTTAATTAAGAATGCCGAAATTTATAGTATTTTCATATATATCCGGTGTGGTCACTTGCTCCCTGCGCTCGCTCGGACAATTAAAACCAAAAACATCCCTTGACAAATTATTTTAAACCATCTTGTGTAGGCCTCGGAATAGCTATAACTTCAAAACTAAGTCTGACCTCCAAATTCTAACTTCACCATTATTTTTAGCATGGTTAACTTAAAATATTTTTGCGGGTGTTCCACAGGGAGATCATCTGAGTCCTCTTCTTTTTATCATATTTGTAAATTCAATAAATTAGTGTTTTCCCAAGGTTCTCCTATTTGCTGATAACATAACATTTTTTTGTAAAATTGACTTCCCGCTGACTGCCTTTTATTACAAGCTGAACTGGATGCATTCTTTGATTGGACACGAAACCTTAACCTACCCGTCAACTTAGACAAATGTCACTCTATGACTTTCTGTAGGAAACATAGTCCCACACTACACTCATACTACCTTGGTAGCTCCCCCTTCTACGCGTTCATCTTATCAAAGACCTAGGCTTTTTTTCTATCACCCACCCTCTCCTTCAAACACCACTTAAATGTTACTGTTGAGGGAAGAGCCTCAAGATCCTTGGATTCATCAAACGAAACACAACCCTCTTTACCTCCCCCACCTGTCTCCGTACCCTCTACTTCAGGCTCTTCAGCCTTGAACGTTCCATCCTTGAGTATGGATCGGTCATTTGGTTTCCATATCTGGCCTGCGATCAATTGCGCTTTGAACGAGTAGAAAATTGTTTCCTATCTTTTATTGCCCTTTTATTGAATATTGAACACGCACCTCATGATTATACCGTTAACCGCTCCACTCTCAATATCCCAACTCACGCTGACCTCATGTTCATCACATCACTACTCAACGGTACTATAAACTCTCCCGACTTACTAGCCACTGTTTCATAGCTACCTTTCTCTTTTCTCTATCCCTACCCATCTCACCTCGTATGGTCATAACCATCCTCTCAACAGAATGTTACACCTATTAAACCAACCTTAGTCCTACCACTTTACTTTTTTTAGCTTACTTATCTTCACTACCTGTTATCTAATATATCTACTTATATAATTTATCTACTTAACTGTATCTTTAACTAAATGCTCTTCGGGGCGTATAATCATAAGATAAAATAAAATAAAATGTTAGAACAAAAAAACGGTGTCCAGTAAAACAGAAATTGACGGTAATGTTCTGTAGGTAATCCAAAAAAAACTATACATTAATGTTTTTTTATCACCACTGCACAAAATAATATTTACTACCCCGCCACTCGGCAAATGTTGAATTGTCTTTCATTTTATTATCATGTTGGTATGTTCAATTTTGTCACAATTGTATGTGTCAATTGCATACCTATCTTACAAACCATATTTTATAATAATGTTATAAATTAATTTTATTAAGTTCCTATACACTGTAATTTTTAATACTGATAAATTATTTAAATATGATTGTTTGGGTAACTACTGGAGCATTATAAACTAAAAAGACTTAATAAATTATAAAACAGCATTTTCTTGAATTTTGATGATTAGCAATAGCCAGTAATATGTATTATTCACTTTTACTGATTCTGTTAATTTATATTCACAAATGAGTATACACTAAATTCAAACAAAAGTAAAACCCTAGCTTGTTAAAATAGAAAAAATGAATGTATTTACTGATGTATGTATTAAGTATATTGCTAAAAAAAATTCAAATTTAAATTTATAATTAAACACTAAATTGTTTTTCTTAATTTTGTAGATGATAAATTTATGTCGAAATAATAGACAGTTTCCCCAACCGTATATTGAAGATATGAATAAAATGTACAAAAAATGCAATTATAAGCAAAAAAAATCAAAACTTTTATGCGATTTAATACTTAAAGGAATAGAGTTCATTTCTCCAAAGAATAATGATTCTTTTCAGTATGCTGCCAGTGTATATAATGAATTATTGCGACTATCTGAACAAGACTCAATTAATTTACAGGTCAGTATCTAATATTATATTAACATATTGTCTTATTAATTATAAATATATAGTGGTATAGGAATACTAGCTTCATTAGTTACCTATAAATTTTAGTAGGTATGTACTATACCACCCTATGTTTGTTGAAACATATTTTTCAACTGTTTGTCTGGTATTTGTAAATTTTTTGCTTTGATATTTATTTTGATGATAAGTTACAAATTAGATTTCCTTTTTACTAAATTTATTAAATAGAAAAGATTGTTTGTTAAACCTGTTGGTGGGGAGGGGGGCACATTAAAATCTAACAGATCGAGGATTGGACACCCTTAATTTAGTCTATTCAAAATATGGAATATCTTGGATAATATTATGGAATTTCGCTGCCTAACTCACCCAACTAATTGTACTACTGATTGAGTTGGTGTGTTTGATAAGTTTATAAGCAGTTTATATTTTTTACAATGACAAGGAAGATTAGGAAAATAAATTTTATGGTGAAAGAATTATGTGACATTAAAACAGAAGGACCTACGATTAATTTATCTGATATTAGTTGATATTAGCTGAATTATTGCATATGGAATAATAGGTTGGGGGAGTGTATTTTGATAATGTTGTATTGCGACTACTAGCAACCCAAAACTCATTAGGTTGTAGCTATAAAAAGAGAGCCAAGATTCCATACTAAAACATTACAACTATATTTAAAGTCAACTGTAATTTTTCTAAAAATACACAACATTCTATCTTGAATATACCATAATATTAATATTAGATATGCAAAGAACAATTTTTTAGTGTATTGCCCTCAATATCAAAATTAATTTAATACCAAAACACATCTTAAATTTTCCACTTCATATGCTTAAAAAACATTTGTTAAGATGGCTTTGTTATGAATTTGGCCTTAATTCCTTATAGAAAGTATTTACATTTATAATATACCACTTAGCGTTAGTATCAATTGATGTTATTCTTAATTTCAGTACCTTGTATATTTTTTTATTTATGTATACCATTTTGTATTAAGGGGCCGTTACAGTTACATTTGTTTTCTCTGTCTTACAAGTGGGTATAACATAACAAATTTTACGCTCAGAAAAACACTTTTATCTCCCGTTAATTTAAAAATTAGAGCGAGTTGACCTCTTATAAAATTTGAAGGCAAGATTATTATCTAGACAATGACATAGGATTTTTATTTTAATTTAATTTTAAAGCAAGTTATGTGTATTTTGAAATTGTAAACTGTTTATACATCTTAAAATACTCATAACTCGCTTTAAAATTAAAATATAATAAAAAGCCTATGTCATTGTTTAGATAATAATCTTACCTTTAAATTTTATAAGAGGTCAATTCGCTCTAATTTTTAAACTAACGGGAGATAAAGGTTTTTTAAAGACAGAGACAACAAATATCACTGTAACGTCTCCTTAATAGAAATTACTTATTATAAACCTTACTTGATAGCCATGTTATTAACAGTTCATCTACATACTTAAAAAAAAAAAACCTGTCAAATGCTGGGTTTTATGATAAACATTCAATGACTCAACATTCATATGATTAATATGGTTAGGTTAGTATGGTTAGGTTAGGTTAATATGGTCCCTTAAACATGAAAATCGAGGCCCATAATTACTCCATTCAATTAATACATTTTTCACATGCAACCTGGCATAATTATCTAATGTATATTATATATTATACATAATTTATAATTGTCTAAAACATAATATTTTGTATATATTTTAGACTGAAAATTGTGTTGCTAGTACTTCAAATGGTAATGCAAGTATGATTACTGAATTAGAGAATGATACAAGTAACAATGAAATTAGTGAAAGCGATACAATATTCAACGAAGTAAGGCATAATATATTATTATGGATTTAAGAGTGATTTTTTTTTTTATAAACTTATGCAAACTTTTTTTTTTGATATATATTAATGACGTAGAAACATAGTTTTTTTTTGTATTATACTAGTATATACCTTGTACTATATGTGTATAAAAACTTTGTTTATTATTATGTGTAGTAAACTACAGTATAATTCCTTTTTGTATGATACTGTATGATGAAATGTATAATACACATTTTATTATACGGTAAAAAATGTATGCAAATTTGAAATTACTTACAAAACTTTGACTTAATTACTCAATTATTTCCCTTCGGAGAATTGAATCTTATTAATAAAAATTTTAAAAAATAAAAAATAAAAACTTATAACCAATGAGTAATGAATTAGTAATTAATAAAAAATTTAAAAAAATTTAAATTTTATACTTTTGTTAAAATATTTCTCTAAAGTCTGTATCATATGGTATTACACAAATGAACATCACTATATATAGTATATTTTATATAAACCACTATTAATATTGTTGTGTATTACTTTTGATGTAGTGTATTATACAGTCACTACCCTCTATATAGTGGACAGCCATGGGGAATTAAAAAATGTCCACTATTGAGAAAAATTATAAATAGTGGACATTTGCGAGAAATTTCTAAATGTCCTCTATAGGGAGACGCTGTAAAAAATTGATTATACATATACATACATATATATTGAAATATGAATTTATTATTTTATATGTATACTAGCTGACCCGACTGACGTTGTCCTGTTATTAACATTGTTTATAAATTATTTCTAATTATTTCTGATTTCACGGCAACCAATATTTATGATTATAATAGCTTTAACACCCATGGCAATCATTTATAAACAAAAATATCCACCATAAATCTCAACATTCCCATTTGACCTCCACGGAATGGGCCTGCCTGGTCTGATTGTGAATCTAAAACATTCTAGGGCCCACTAAAGCACACACAAAAATTTCATCAAAATCGGTCCAGCCGTTTAGGAGGAGTTCGTTTACAAACACACGTACAGTAGAATTATATATATAAAGATTGTATATAATATGTATTTATTGAAAAGTGTATAAAAATATAAGTAAAAATGTTTAATGTTTATGCACAATTAAAAAACTTTGTAAATTTTTTTTCTGCTCTTTACAATGAATTTGCAAATTGGCTACCATTGATAATGCGATCTTATCTTCTTTATTTTTAAAATGTGTTTTTAAATTATTTATTGTTTTCTAAACTTCAAACGTTGGATTGTATATCGACTCGTATTCTCGTATTCTATTAGGAGTGTCCACTATTAAGAGGTTGTAACTCCTATCATTAGCATACATTTTTGCCGGGTAATTTTAAAGTGTCCACTATTGGGAAGGATCCACTATTGAGAGGTGTCCATTAATAGAGTTTTTACTGTAGTAGTATACAATACATCAATAGTAATACACATAATACTGAATAATGATAAATTAATTTTTTGCCATTCGACATTGCAATTTACAAACATTATATTATTATAAATCATATACTATAGATTTTATTATTATATTATCTGTATCGAACTTAGTTAAATTAAAATATAGCTTGACCATATATTTTTATTAGTATAATAATTTTTCAAGTACTATTAAATATTAATATTATTTAAGTATGTACATATTGTATGTTTCAGTTGATAGAAAAATGTTATCAAAATACACATTTTCCAAAATCAAATATTGAAGTGATTAATAATTTGTATAAATCTCTGCCTTCTGAATTTCTTGGTTCTAAGTATTTTATTATGTTGTTAAAAGAAGCAAACCAAGTAATCTGGCCTGATAGTGGTAGTGCTTTATATACACACATGGAACATATATATGATCAACTACAGCAATTTAAAACTTCAATGAAGGTAAGATTTATTAATTAGCATATGATAGAGGTTAGAGTTAACCATTTGCAATATACCTAATAATTGTATTAGGTATTAGATTTTAATTTCTTTAGACATGAACATTTTTTTTATTATTTTTAAATCCTTTTGACTAGGTTAAAATCATTATGTAAACAGTTGGCATATAATAGTTTTGTGTAATTTCTCATTGACATCATGTATTCATGACCTTAATTTAATATTTCATCTTTTTTTATTGCTTTAATAGTCTAATAAACACATTTTAAAAGTCCAATTTTGTCGTTTCCAAAGTTATATAACAAAGGATAGATTTTCAATAAATTAGATCGGCCTCCGAACTTTATTTGGACAAAAGCACTCTTGCTTCTCTTATATGAGCTAAGTCTGTTTTGTTTGATTTGAGTATAATATATACTTTTTTTTAATAATCAAAATTGTATAATAATAATTTATAGTACACAACAGGCTTAAGTGGCAATTAATATCATAATTAAGCGTTGATTTTAAATTTTTTTCTACAATTTGGTATTATAAATACTCTGTTCAGATTTAATGCTTGATACAAGTTGGATTTAGTATTTGTCATTGTGTTTTATAATTTATATTTTTCAAATTCCTTCATACTACTACTTTAATAATAAGTTTTGTCATTGTTAACAGATTTTGTATATTTTTGAAAACATACCTAAGTTATATAGTTATAGTTACAGACAACAGTACCTATTTTGTTATATATTTTCACCTAGATTAAATTCAAAATATTTAATGAGTTATTTGATGATTTATTATTTATGAATACACTTTGTATTTATTTAAAATTAGTTTAATTCAAAATTTATCTTCAATGATCAATTAAATATTAAATTATTGTAGTTGGAATATTATACAAAATGATTTGGTCATAATACAATATTACAATGTAAAATAAAAATATTATTTATGGAGATATTAGGATACTTAGAATAGCCGGGTGATGCGGAGCCAGGCAAATAAAACGTTTAGATTTTTCTTTTATATTATAAACAGTAAAAGAGAAAATGGCAATTTGTGCCATGATGTGTTGCGAAAAGTGACTGCTGCGGCCACAGAGGTGTACGTAATGCTAATGTACTCATTAAAATTATTACCTAACCAAACTTATACCATTTCTCTTAGAATTGAACATTTTTTTAAAATTTAAAAAATTAATTTATGAATACTTTATATAGTGCTCCTATATATTTTAATATTTGTCATAGGTTCAAGATAGTAGATCATCTGTTATGAATAAACAAAGGGATGAAAAAACATTAAAACAGCTCAAAAAACTAAAAACTGCATTGAAGGTAATTATTTTATTGTAATTTAATCAAATTTCATGAATAATAGATTTTAATGTTATTATTATTAATTTTTTCAGATTATCAGAAAAAAAATTAAAAATCTTGATGAAAAAGAAATGGACATAAACAATGAAAATGAATTTAATTCTGACTCTGCATATATATTAAAGGATAAGTAAGTTTTTTGTTTTAATTAAATACCTTTTGAAATATTACATCTATTTAAATTATTTATTATTGCTAATTTCAAAAAAAGATAGGGCTTAGTTTTATTGATTTCTCTAGTGTATAAATAGTTTTTAGATATGATTAAGAGAAAGTCTTATATTAATCCTTTATACATTTTAAAAATGACGTTGATAGTAATTAAACAACAAAATCATAAATCATAATATATGTAAAAAAAAATTTATAATATTTCAGCGAATTATTAAAATGCACCTTTAGATAAAATGCATAGTTATAGTTTCAAATGTAATCACACAAACATATAGATCTTGTTTGGCTCAACCTATATAAAAAAAATATACTTGATAAATAAAAATATGTATATCTGTAGGCTGACTGTCAAGGTTGGCAAAGCAAAAACAATAATTACCTGTTTTTTGTGTGTTTTTATTTTTTTTTTTTCAAACTTATAGATATGAAAAAAGGATTGTTGAAATATATAAACGAATGTGCAAGTTAAATGAAGAACCAGACTTTTTAGAAGAACCTATGCTGCGTTTCAAAGCAACAAATGACAGTTTAGTTAATAAAACCATTGAGAAATATTATAATCTTAACAAAACATTTCCGGATTATTTTGAAATATATACATTATTACAATGCTTAAGAGACAAAAAAAATTTAAAATGGACTGAAACTGATTTGAAAAATATTTGTGAGTAAAATTATTATAATAAAAAAATGCTCAAGATCTTTTTAAAAATGTTTTGTATTTATTTTAGCTCATGATGCTTTTCTTAAGCTTGGGAAACAATTAAAGCTTCGGAGACTGAATGAATATTTTGGTCGTTTGGCAAATGTAAATGAAATAAAAGATCCAGCAGAAGAAAATGAAGAACTCAGAAAGAAACTCGATGAAAGTAACAAGAAGATGCACTCAGATTTGAATGCGGTAAAGTTATTAAGTCCAGTAGTATTAAAAAAGTTTTTGGAAATAGAAAAATGGAATAAAAATATTTTAGTTTAATAAGTAATCTTTTAATAATAAATATTTGGTGTTTAGTTGGCCTATATATTCACCAAATTGTATTGTATGAGATTATTTTTTAAGGAACTAAGTCCTGGAACTGTGTCCAAAATGTATAAGAAAAACGATTCTGAGCGGAGACGGTTTGCAGTCTAGATATTTTATATTGTTACTAGCTGATCCCGTACACTTCGCTCCCATTAAAAATGCCAACTCTATATGAATAATATGTTTTATTTTATAATGTAATGGTTACCATAATAAGCTCATAGCTTATTATAGTGATACAAATCATATGATATGTCACAAATATTTTCTTTCAATGTGCATTGAATTTTTGTTCTTAATTCATTGGTTAATAAATTGAATTGACATTAACTTTTGAAGTTAAAAATAATTTATTATATTTACTGTGGTTTATAATTAGTGTGCTTTAATTATATATTTTTATTTTGTAGTTGACACTGAAGTTTAAAAATAAACAAGATTATGCAGAGGAAACAGAAGGATCTAACCTTAATAATACAGAGTGTGAATACAGTTCAGAAAGTGATTGTAGCATTAATAATACAAAATCTAATAAAGAATTGAAACCACCCATCAAACCTATATTAGTTAAACGTAAAAGATTATTATCGCCAGAATCAGAAAATGATAAACCACCAAAAAAGAGCCAGAAAACTATTTACATGGAGTCATTTGATTTAGCACCAAGTGGTGTTACTTCAGAAACAATACTAAATGAGATACAAGAAGAAACAACTGTTGTTACAGAAAAAGTTCCTGGCCAAATGACAACTATAAATAATGGTAATAATATGATAATAAATAAAGTTTATAGTATTCCTTTTACAAAAGATGCTGTTTTAAAAAATACTTATCTTATTATGTCAAATGGGGAAACATGTGATCTTAACAAAAAAGCTTCCAATGAAATAACTTTAATAGATGTTGATGACACAACAAATAAAAAAAACAAAATCTATTCTAAAGAGGTTTCTGAAAAAGTAAATGAATGTAGTAACAACACTGATGAAACCGTAAGAAATAATAATTTAGTCACGGAAGGAAGTCTATATAATACTGATACAGATGGAACCCTTGTGATTGATGAAGATATTAAAGTTGAGGATAAAACTTATAGAACAGTTACTAAAGAACCACAGGAAAATAAAATTACAGAAGTAGAAAGTGAAGTAAATGCTATGAATCATTGTACTATTGATAGTGAAAATTGTGATCCAATCATCACTGAGCCTGAAGTAATAATACATGAAGATAAAGATTTGAGAAAAGATGTTATTGAGATTAATGATCTTGATGATGATTCAGATGTAGAAATAACTTCTTGTGAAACATCCATAGTTCCAGTTCAAAATAAGAAATCTCTAGAAACTATTATAAAAGCTAGTACGTGTTAATTACATAATATTAATATAAGAGGACGCTCACCTAACATGTTACGAACTTGTAAGACGTAGCATGAGGTTGCATCCTCTAAAGTTTTTTTTTATTTTGAATACATTTTGTGATTTGTTTTTAGTGAATTTTAATAAGATGTACAATTGGAATAAAGAACCAAAGAAGTCAAATCCTATACCGCCTCCTGTAAGTTAAATTATTTTCTAATAAAGATAAAATGTGTACATACTTGTATGTTTAATATTGTATTATATATATATATATTATACCTAATCGTATAAAATTGTACTATATATAAATATTTTTTTATAAGTTTGACTTGATACCTTGGTATGACTTCAAACAGTTTTATTTTTTATTTATCATATCATTATATGTTACCGAGATTTAGTAATAAGCGAACCGTTCTTGGGTTAAAATTTTTACAGTGTGTTTGTGATTCAAAATATTCTTATCAATCAGTCGATTTTTGTTTACAAAAAAAAAAAAAATCTATTATTAAAACTTTGGTCATTTTATATTATAATCACTTACAAAAGTTTTCAAGATTTATATGAATCATGATCTAAGGTGGGTACTATAGAGACATAGAGGTATATGCAATACCATATGAAAGTGACAACGGCGCAACTGTGAGAAAGTGGTTTTTTTTATCATTTTTTAATTAGGTTTTATTATTTAGTATGTAGGTACCTAACCTGTTATTAGGGAGTTTTTTAAAATTTAATTCTAAGTAAAATTGTTAAAAGTAAAAGAGGTTTTTATTCACTTTATTTATTTTATCAGAAGAACCTTGAATCACTGTTTTATATTATTAATTATTATTTTTTTATAAAGTTGAATTCTTGCAGGGAGAACAATTTTATAGATTAAGTTAGGTTGAGTATTACACCCATACATTTATTTACCAAGTATAAGTCCAACTGTATGCTAACCACAAAATAAATACACGTAAAAGTACACGTAATTAGACAAAAAAAGTAACAATGGTGAATGTTTCATACTAATATATAAATTGACATTATCTTAAATAAATTACATAAATATTCTATAGGGTGAATGTGTCTAATTGTTTGAGGAAAGGTGATTCAGAGGTAGTGAGGGTGGCTATGCAAATTAATATTGAAGTATTGAAGAAAAGAGGAAGATCGAAGAAAAGATGGTCATAGGTAGAATAGAGAATGACGTGAAAATGACTGGATTGAATAAATGAGTGGTGGGGTGGGGTTAAGAGTAGCACTGTGGAGGTGTAGCACAATGGTAGTTGATTCAGAAAAGGCGAAGAAGAAGATAGAGAAGGTATTTTCCCCCATGCCCCCTAAAAAGGGGCTCATGGTTGCAGCCTGGTAATGATTTTAAATGGCCTGGAAACATTTTGACACCAACAATAAAAAAACTGAAATGAAGTATTTTAGTTTAAAATAAAGGCGTGTTAAAATAAGTTTTAACTAATACAATATTTGTAGGTTGTTGCAAAGACCTCACATCAAAGTTCAACTAATTTGAATTTGGACAATAATTTAGTCAATCGTTGGGTTGTAAACAATATACGGCCTCCTAAACCAAATAGCACGAACAATATTCCTAACCTCAGACATAATAATAGACAGTAAGATAATTTTTGTTATAATTATTGATTAATAATATATTAATTAAACATAATTTTATCGTAACACAAAATTGTTAACTATTTTGAATGTCTATAAATTATCAATTATTTTATTAGTAGACCCGCAACTTGTCACAGAATGAGGTCAACTACTTTTCAAAATAGTGTACAAACTGCAAGACAGATCACTCAACGTATTTCAAATACGGTTCAACAACAAAGAAATTTCAATAATCAATCAGTATTACAAGAGGTAATTGTTATATTAAATAAATTGTGTATTTTGTTCATTATTATAATACTTATTACATTCAGTAGAAATCCAATATAGTACTGACAGTATATACACAATATTAGTTAGTATGATTACAATGGAGTGGTTCTGTAAAACTGCATTACATAACTGTCTATATATTAGGACTACTATACTCGGTTGAAAATTAGATTGTACCTCTAGGGGGGGGGGGGGGCGGGCAAGTTTTCGTTTTCAATGGTTAGAGGCTTCTCTCACCCAAGTCAATACATGAGGCCAGTGCTTAAGAACAAAGCCAAGCCCATGCTCACAAATTTACCTCTGAGGTATGATCTCATTTTGAACAGAGTGTAATATTAAGACTTATAATGTTCTTTAATATCAGATAAGGCGACAGTCACAAGCGTGACAGACCTTAAGAGCAACAGTAGCCAATCAAAATTATAATTTTTTTCAAATTTTGAGCATCATTTTTTTTTTAAAACTAACTACGATTATACTGGCCTGTTAAGATATAATTATGTCAGTCCTATATCAATTTATTTAGCAGTATCAGTATATGTAAGCAGCAAACGTTTTAATTGTTAGTTCTAAACTTCATTATAATGTATGATAAGTGATAACTAGGGCTCAGAAGTTGATGCATTTTGAATTTTTTTTGAAACAGACTATTTTCTTAGCTGAAAATTTTTTTCAATGGAATTCAATTCTAAATAACTAATTTTTATTTTGCATTTTCTGGTTTTATTTATGTTATAGGTAATTTGTTGTAATTTTTTCTCATTTCTCACTAATTTAAAGAAGCTTAGGCTTAGGTGAGTGTTTTTCTGATAACTTCAGTGCAAGATTTGGCTCATTTCAAATCTGCAAAGGTGGGCATTAACTTGTTAAAAAGTTATTTTTTTTTAAAACTTTTTAACTTAACTAGTTAATTATTTGTTTTTAACTTATTAACTTATTCAGTTAAAATTGTTATTGTTGTAACTTAACTTTTTATAGTTAATAATCATTGTTGTGCAGTTAAGTTAATTTTCTTTTCGAGTCATGCATAATCAACTAGGCCAGTGTTTCCCAATCTTTTTGCAATGGCGACCCATAAATTTAATATTTATTGTTACCCCTATTGTTTACCCCTTGCTAAAAAAAAAAAAATCAAGTATGCCCTAAATAAATAATATTTTTATTATAATTAATTTTATCTTTGAATTTTTATAAAATATAATACTTGATAATAATACATATTGATACATAATACATAATAAATAAATAAAATAAAATTATACAAAAATACTGTAATAAGCGTAATCGTAACCGCGAGTCGCGACCCATCAAAAAAATTTTGCTACCCATGGTTTGGAAAACGCTGAACTAGGCAATACTGATTCGTCGACTTTTTTACGATTTTGGTAATTTATTTTCGAATTATATATTATAATAATCTAATTTTTTACACAGTGTTAAATGTCTTGGTAAATGTTTGTGTATAACAAAATACTATGGTAGTATATGATTTAAAAATATTGTATCTTCAAAAAAACTTTTTTTTAACTGAGATAAGTTAATTTTATTTTCTATCTTAACTTTAAACTTATCTAGTTCAAATTTTTTTCTTTGTTAACTTTAAACTTAACTGAAGGCAATTTAATTGAATTAACTTAACTTGCCACAGTTAATTATTTTCATTAACTTTACCCACCGTTGCAAATTTGCTCTAATCAGTTCAGTTAACGTGGAGAGAAGTTTTTCTAAGTATAAATATTATGTATTATCCAATAATCGTCATTCATTTAATGTAGACAACATAAAATATGATCTAATAATAATTGCTGGCGGAGGTGGGGCCTTTTCGATTTTGAATGCCTAGGCATTCTAGCACCGGTGAAGAAACAAAACAAAACATTTCTTATATGCAGACGACTTGGCCCTAGCAGCGCAAGACACAACCTTCCAAAAAGTCGAACTTAAACTTACCAGATCACTTCAAGAATTAACAAATTATTACATAAATAACCAACTAAGAACCAATCTAGATAAGACACAGGTATGCAGTATCTACCTCCGAAAACCGCAAGGCAAAAAGAGAACTAAAAGTTGAATGGCTTGGAAAACCATTGGGAAATATAGAACACCCAGTTTACCTAGGGACTACACTGAACAGAACTCTCACGTTCAAAGAGCAGTGTAAGAAAATTAAAATGAAAGTTGAAGCAAGAAACAACCTTATACGGAAACTAGTAGGTAACCTTCCAAAAAGTCGAACTTAAACTTACCAGATCACTTCAAGAATTAACAAATTATTACATAAATAACCAACTAAGAACCAATCTAGATAAGACACAGGTATGCAGTATCTACCTCCGAAAACCGCAAGGCAAAAAGAGAACTAAAAGTTGAATGGCTTGGAAAACCATTGGGAAATATAGAACACCCAGTTTACCTAGGGACTACACTGAACAGAACTCTCACGTTCAAAGAGCAGTGTAAGAAAATTAAAATGAAAGTTGAAGCAAGAAACAACCTTATACGGAAACTAGTAGGTAGCAAGTGGGGTGCAACGCCAAACACGATCCGTACTACTGGACTTTGTTTCTCCGTTGGTGAGAATGCTAGCCCAGTATGGAACCAATCTAAACATACAAAAAATGTTGACACAACCCTTAATGATACCTGTAGGGTAATAACCGGATGCCTTAAACCAACACCACTTAAATATATATATCCATTAGCAGGGATAGCTCCACCAAGAATACAAAGATATGTGGCCACATGCATAGAGAGAACCAAATAAACAATGGACCAAAGACACCCCATGTATGGTTACTCGGGACCACAAAGAAGACTTAAATCTCAAAGAAGCTTTATTGCCAATTCGACCACTATCCAAGATTCACCGGAACAACACAGAATACGAAAATGGAGAGAAGAGCTACTATATGAAAAATCTGTCCCGCCTGCTGAGAATTTACCATGTGGAGGAAACCAATCATAGGGAAGACATTAAATAGGCTAAGAACTGGAATAGCTAAAACAAAAGCAAGCGTTACTAAAAAAAAAAATCCATTTCCTGCATAACATAGAAAAGAAAATTAGGAATTTAAATGTTATTTCTAAATTAAAATTGGAAGTATATTTTTTTTTGGCTTATTGGTCTAAATGCACGAAAACGACCTGCTTTCAAGATCTTTAACAACTATTACTATAGTATTTTTTTTATAAAACAATAATTTATGATATTTTTATATGTTAGTATATATTTTTTTGTATTTGATTTGTCTTATAGCAAGTAACAACCATGACTACAACAACTACAGTTAGACAAATAGTCCAGAAAAATCAAGTCCACCGTCCCGGTAGTTCTGTAACTAATGGTGGTAAGAAACCTGAACTTATAGAACTGGATTAGTGTTTAATACTGTAAATACAATCTAACATGTTGATTTTATATTTTATTTTTATTTGTTAGATATTAAGGCATATACCATTGTACTATTACAGTTTTTTAATATTTTGTCCAAACCACATATAATATTTTCTCTTTTACTAAATTTAAAATTATTGAATTAAACTAAGAAGCTGGTTATATTTGTTTCTATTTAGCTCCAACAATTTCTTTGTAATTGTAAATATGTTAAATACCTATCTATTTTAAACATATTATATATATTTTATAATAATAATATTAAAAACTATTTGATGTCACGTATGTAACATGTATGTAAATAAATTGTTTAAAAAATAAATATTTTAAAACTGGAATAAGTTATTTTTAAAGTTAACATTTATAAGTAGGTAGTGGATTAAGACCTATAAACTTATGAACAACGCTTAGAGAGAGGTCAGGGGTACAATATAGAGTAAAAGAGAAGATTGAATGTGGGGGAAATACAGTGTTAGTTTATAGGTCTATGCTTACTACTTTATGTTCTTTCTTTCTCTTATGATTCCTGTGCATTGAGAGCAGGGCGGAGTGGAATGCGCTGTGCCGCTGTCCATTAGTTTATAGGTCTGTGGACGCTACACACGCATGCGTTGTCTCCGTGTTACAAATAACAAATGCACAACATAGCAAAAACTGCTTTGCGATGATCAACTATGCTCCCTCTGTATTTATAGTATAGTTACCAAAATTCCACAACACATAAGAAAGAACTTTATCTGTGTCGTACCGTTTTTGCTTTTATGATGGCACTTATTTTTTTAATAAATAATTAAACGAAAAAAACCTAATGTTCTCAAACTAAAAACTTTAATTGTATTTATGCGTTATCCAAATATTAAAAACGCTACAACACAGATAAAGTTCTTCCCCATGCATTGTGGAATTTTGGTAATTCTACTACAAATCCAGTGGGAGCCTAGTTGTCCCCGAAAAACAGTTTTTGCTTTGTTCTGCATTTAAGACAGAGACAATGCACGCGGGTCAGAGGGTGTAACGTCCTCTTGACATTTCGCTTTTTGCATCATTCCACTGCACGTCTAAATTTTAAATACTTATAAGCAGGACTCGGAACTTTATGCATTTGCATATTTCTTAGGAAGCTGCATGTTAAAAACCTGATTCAATACAAATTAATTTCATAGTACATAAAATCTAAATACAAAAATGTATGTTGCATATTTTTGGATCATGCATATTGGGCAAAATAATTTTAAATATGTATAATATTGTTAACATTTCCAGAAAAATTAAAAAAACAAGAACGGATATGTCGTTTGTTTATTTTTCCTTTAGCTTTTTTTTCATGTGCTTTTTTTTCCGTTTGCTTTTTTTCATTTGTTTTTTTTTCACTGCTTTTTTTTCAATTGCCTCTTTTTACTATTACCATATTTTTGCATTTTTGACAAAATGTACATGATTTTGCATATTTAAAGATTCTGAGCATATAAATGCATATTATTATGTTAATAAATAATTTATTTAAACATTTTAAAAATAAAGAGCCACCACGTCGTCGCATCGTCTATATTTTGAATTATACTATAGGTTCCGAGCATTGATTGCAATTTATCGACCCGGTAAAAACAATTAATCATTCATTATAATTCAGGTAAAGATATATTATATAATAATCTACAAGCCAAAAATTAAATTTAAGCTTTTTTTTACTGCATATATTGCACATATTTCTTTTTTTTTTAGCGCATAAAGTTTCGAGCCCTGCTTATAATTATAACTAATTAGGTAACTACTTGTTGAAGTTATACTTCTTTACGCAGGGTAGTGAGGAAAAAAAAAGCGAACGGGCGGCCGTACGAACGCGAAAGCGTACATGTCCGTAAATAAATAAATATTGTCATGGTAATGTTGTTTTATTATATATTATAATATATATATATATATTATATATTATAATCGGGCCATACTAATTAATATGAATAATTAATGATCGATTATTATTTATTTTTATTATTATTATTATTATTCACTCACAAATCTATTGTCTGGATAAAAACAATACTACAAACAATTATCCATCGATCTGTCGAATAAAAATATAAAAAAAATAATAAAACTATCAATAATAAATACTTCCGGATACTTCTACTCATTTTTTAAATTAATTAATATTTTTTTCTTTCTTTTTCACTCACTCACGTGTACCATTCAAAAGAAGTTTAACTTCCCGCGCGTGTACTGGTAACACACATGGTTTTTTTAAAATTCGAATCTATCTCGGAAAAATATTCTGATAAGGAATATGAAATGGAAAATATCTAAGTATATAATAGGTATATATCATTCAAAAAGGTGAACTAAGTATCATTAATATATAAGTAATGTATTAATATAGTAATATGTTTATTTTAAATAAAATAATAAAATAAATATAATTTTAGAAAATGAACAATGAACATGGTAAATTATAATATAATTATATTACATTATATCATAAACCAAATCCTTCAACTATAACAGCAATCTATGGATAACGAGCGAAGAGAGTGCAAAACAAGACATATTAAACATTTAAACAAAAAATTAGAACTTGTTCTAAATAAAATAAATATAAACAATATAAATTGAGGTATCGAAAGTAATTAGGTAGGTAGTCCCTACTATATTTTTAATGATCAAATAAATATTATGTTCGACTGCATAGTGCATACCCGACTACGTAATTATTATAAATGTCAAATATCTAGACAGAAAAAGAATATTAGTGAAATAAAATATTAGTCTGCATTTATGTTTGTTAACTTCGCAGAAAGTTTAAACATCTGTATACCTAATATAGGTATCTACATGAAACAGTAAGCTGACTGACTGATCTATCAAAGCACAGCTCAAACCATTGGACTGAAATTTGGCATACAGATATTATGATGTAAGCGTCCGCTAAGAAAGGATTTTTGGAAATTCAACCCCAAAAGTGGAAAATAAAGGGTTGTAAGAATACAACAGTGGTGCCATCTATCAAGCAATATCTAATTTAATTTTACAATATTGGTTTTAAAAAACAAAACGTACGTACTTAATACATGGGATAGTGGTTCTTTTAATGATCTAGATGAGCAATAAGCCAATAAGAAAGGATTTTCTGATATGTATATTTTAAAGAGGTGGTCAAACAGGGATCTTAAGATTCACGTGAGAAATTGATACTTTTTTTTGTTTATTAATGGTTGCCATTGGTTGCAGGTTTACATACGAATTATTTCACAAAGCTAGGCACAATTACGACGATCTGTCCTTAAAAAGAAAATTAAATAAATTAAAATAAAATAACCGTAATATATATTATATTAATATATTAAATAGGTATATTAAATACTCCTATAAATTTGGGATGATCAACTATGACTTCAATACTATTTTAGGTACACTGTATGAACATTATTTCAACTACAAAGATATACTAATAATAGTAATAAGAGACGGAACAATCATAGATCCTGTTGACGATCCCACTATAAACGACTTTTCAAGCTTGACAGATTCGGATTCATAGTAGGCGATGAGTCATAGTTTAAAAAAGAAGATCTTCAAGAGATAAAAATCGAAGTAAATGGAGAACAAAAATGGCTGAAAATGGTCTCCAACTGGGACAGTCTGTCCCGAGACAAACGGAAAAGACGTGTTTGCAAAGGCATTCCAAATTCAGTACGAGGTAAAGCGTGGGCCAAGCTATTGGGTGTTGATTAACTCACAGATGATCAGAAAAATAAATACAAACATATGTGTGAGCTGGCATGGGAACATTCACCAGATGTGAGACAAAGTGATTTAGATGTGAATCGAACATATCGAAAACGATACAATTTCAAGCAACAAGAATTATTTAACATACTATCTGCATATAGTATCTATAATTTGGATGTTGGCTATACCCAGGGAATGTCACAAATTGTAGCATTACTGTTGATGTATTTAAGTGAAGATGAAGCATTCTGGGAGTTGTCTACTCTTATTGCCAATAACAAGTATTATATGCATGGTTTTTTCATACCTGGTTTTTCAAAGTTCATATACGGTTTCAAGTTCATCATGATAAAATAAAGAATTATACTATATTATAATATTATAAGAAAAATACCAAAATTAAAAAAAAACATTTGGATAAAAATGGAGTTGAAACTGAGTTATATACTTTAAAATGGTTTTTCCAATGTTTTTTGGCCAGAATACCATTCAAATTGACTTTGAGAGTGTGGGATACATTTTTACTAGAAGGAGACAAAATATTATCAGCTACGGGCCTATTGCTTATTAAAACTACACCGCCACCAGCTATATGCTTCAGGAATCATTGATATGCTTAATTTTTTGCAGGTAAATTTGGAATATAGATTTTATTTTGTCACCCATCTCGCCGTGTCCGAAACCTACCGCAGGATCTAGCTTACCTGATAATATACTTTTCACATAACCATGATAAGAGAGTCTCAAGGGCAACGCCATGCGGGTAGCTAAAAATTAAAATATAATATGACTGCATCCATATGCACAGCGAATTATACCCAAAAGGAGTTCATTAATCAATATTTTTTCCCGGGTAACTCCGGGTTATTCAGCTAGTAATGATATATTTATAATTGTGAAATAAAATACATTGGACATTTAAAACAAGGTTCCTCATATGTAGTTAATACTGTAACCAAAAAAATCTGGAAAATATTATATTAACACAATTTTTACTTAGAGATATTTTAAATTCGAATTTGGACGGAATTAAACGAAGAATAACGATGATAATTATTTTGTTATAATTAAATTTAAATTATAAATTTTATTATACTCACTAATTTTACTCTCATTGAACAGACTAACTGAATATACATAATGATATTTTGATTCTATTACCTATTTTATAGTACGAACCTATGGAGCTAATTCAAATATATTTCATCAAAACAGTGTTTCAGTTGAAAAGAGTAAAGTCATATCTTCGTTCAACAGTGAGT